ATATCCACAAGATTTAAAAGTGAATCTTAGATTATATTTACATTCAATTATTTATTTATACTATATGCATTCAATTTCTTATTTTTTAATTTATTGTTTATATAAAATTTGTTTAGCTATCTACATATATAATTTTTAGAAAAATGAATTATGAAGTTATCCATCCATAACATAAAATAAATCATGAAGTAATACATATGAAATATAAAGTGAATTTCGAAGTTATTCACAAAAAAGATGAAGTGGATCTTGAAGATATTCACAAAAATTTAAAGTGGACCTTGAAACTGTTCACAAATATAAAGTAGATCATGTAATTATATCATGAAGTTATCTATATATAGTTTTTATTTTCTCTTATTTGGTTCTTTTTAATACTCTTGCAATAAAATTATTAATAGCCATATTATTTTAATTATGACTTGAAGCCATATCACTTTAAATTTTTACTATTTTATGAATGATCAACTTATGGCCATGATAGATTATATAACTAAAAGTCATATTTAATTTTGTTATTATATGACTAGAAGTCATATTTAATTTTGTTATCTTATGATTAAAAGTCGTATTTAGCTTTATTATTAAATGGCCAGAAGCCATTTGTAATTTTGTTATTAGATTGCTAGAAGTCAAATATGATTTTATGATTAAATGGCTAGAAGCCATATTTGATTTATTTGTGATTATATGACCAAAAGCAAAAATTGATTTTGTTATTATATGGCCAAAAGTCATCTCAATTTTTATTATAATTGTTATGTGAAGGGATAATCTTAGGATCCTAACGAATTATATAAATTTTGTGGAATGGGCATATTGATTATTAATTTAATTGTTTTAACTACCACAATCCTAAAGACTAATGGTTCAAAAGAAATTGTTGGATTTAAGAGATTATTTTTCTATAATCCTAAAGATTATAGTCAATAGAGTTTATATTACAAAAAAAAAATGGCATGTGGCCATATAGACACATTATTTATCATTTATTGAACTGGTGGAAAATGTCAAATAATGATTATGCTGGTTTAAAGAAAAATAATCACAAGGTGTTACAATCAAATATTCAATTATTATTGTGTTTACATATTGACGCAAGTGTTGACCTATAAATACTCATAAGAATAAGTAAGTTATTTTCCTCTTTCTATGCATATGCATATTTCAAATTTTAATACATATTTGATATTAAATTTTTTTTTCTCATGGTATATGAAGATATTTTTGATAACTCTCACATATACATACATGTTCAAGATATGATATATATGATGCATTTTTATTAATGACAAATTTTCATATTAAATTATCCATACATGTGTTAATAGTTACAATTGAGATATATATCATATTTAGGATTGAAATAAAAGCACTCATTAGAGGTATGCATGTCATATAATAAGTAAAGCAATGAAAATCATGAATAGATGAAAGTGATTATATGCAGATAATTCTTATATATTACTTTGTTAAGTGAGTTCCTTTTAAGAAAATTTCTGAATCATTTTAAGAGTTTTTAAAAATAAATTCTAGAGGAATTTTTAATGAAAATAATCTTTTCTTAAAAATACTTTCTAGATACAGGTACATATATTTTTTCAAAGTCTTAATAGTTAACTTGTTTACTCCTAATTAAAATAGTAATATATAATAATCTTTATATCCAATAATGGTGAAATTTAGATCTGATTAGGTAATTATGATCAATATATAAGGAATGAAATATTTGAGATCGTCTTAATTATTGAAAATATCAATACTACAATGTTGATTGATTGTAAATGCTAAAAAGAAATAGCAAGAGTTTCAAGATATTTATAGAAAATTATAAACTTAGAACTACTTGTGTTTTGTTTCCTAGAGAACTTAATATAAAAAAAATTCTTTGCATAATATGTAAACAAGAGGATTAATAATCCTTTATTTTAAATGGTGTTATTGTTTATGTATATCGGGTTGCACAAAATTGATGGTTTTTTTTTTTAAGATTTTTCAAACCTATGAAGAAAAATTCATTTGTGATATGTTATTTACATGAGTTTCGAATAAGTTATTAAGGATTTTTATGATAATGGATGTCATATTAAGATTGTAACCATAAGTTTACAATTCTTAGCAAACTGAAAGTTTACTATTACTTTGGTTTGGTATGCTAGAAGTATACTGATATTATTTGGCATGATCAGTTAGATCATCCTAGATCAATATTGATGCAAGGAGTATTGAGAATTCACAATAACATCCATGGAAAAACTAGAAGATTCTTCCTAAATAGCTAACACATTACATGCTTCAAGAATTCTCGTGTGTTGTTTAAGGAAAGTTGTGATATTATCACTAGCAATAATTGGAATTGGATCCCAAATATTTATGGAATATATTGAGTGAAAATGGGCCCATTTAGATACCATGTGAACCATGCAAATTTTAATGAGATTGGTAGATGTATATATAAGATGATTACACATGTGTATCAATTTATAACCTATACTTTATGAAAGAGAAAGAACTATTATGTGCACAATTTCTAATATAGTGATCAGGATGACTCACTTAAAAATGCTAGTGGTTTCATATCTTAGGCTCTCAATGATTGTGAGATGAAGAAAGCCTACTCATTAGAATGGTCTATTAAAGATTATTTAGGCCTCCGATAAGATGATTAGACCAAAATTTGTGACAACAAGATTTTCCATTTAAATATACAAGTTTGCAATTGCAATCAAGAGCCAAAGATTGAGACTTTGTGATGAAGGCTCCACTACTATGTATGAAATATACTTTCAAAGAAAAATTGGGAATAATGCCAAAGTCTTTATGGGTCAGTGGAATTTAATTAAATTGTGATCTGTGGCACAATTCATAGATTAATTTGTGCTACAAGTGTTTATCTTGTGAACACATAATAAGGTTGGGAATAAATGTTGGTTAAGATTCTTCTTCTTGTTGTTTGTTTCTAAATGGAACAATATAATGTTTCTATAAGAAACAAATGGATTTAGAAGGTTTATACTACATGGTTTATAATCCCAAAAAAGGGGGAGATGATGAAAAACTGAAAATGAAAAATACATGAATGCATTATTGATATGTTATATAGATACTCATATATGAATCAAAAGCTCATATAACATTGCATTCATGAAATAAAATAGTTGCCATATATGTAAGTATTGATAGAAAGAAGAAATTTCAAATTCATGCTCCAACTAATAATGCTCCAAAAGTATAAATAAAATAAATCACACTTGAAGCGTAGAAGGCTAATCGGTTGCAAAGAAAGAAAATATTATAGAAAGAAAAATGAGCAAATATGTAAGATGATCATATTGAGGAGGTTAACATTCTAGAAGAAGTTAAGACATAACTAACTTTAGGTCCCCATAAGAGGATCAGGTACTTGATAATAATAAAGAGATATTGAAAAGTTATGTCAATATGAGAAATGATGGAACCGAAAAGATGAGAATTGTCAACGACACTTTTAATGAGAATGAAATATTACTATCAAGTGAGGATCTTGATAGAATAAAAAAAAGGACACAATACAAGTAGAATTACATTCACTTGTTTATGATATTAAAGTTATGAACTTATAGTTCAAGCACCTGAAGTGTGAGATTATACATGAGCATTTATGTAAAAAGAAAAATATGAAATGTCACATGCAAAACTTGACTTTTAATATAAGAATATGCATTAATATATTGTGTGGTGGATAAAAAGGTTTTTGATATGTTATTAGTCTAGCAGTATAGAAATTTGATATACGTCTACTAAATGGTAGCTTACTTATATGGCTCTCTATACAGTAATATTTACTTGAAAATCTTAGAAGGACTAAAGATGACAAAAGCTTATAAAGTTTCTTGAGAGATTTTCTTATTGATTATATTTGTTCATATGATTATATACATATTGATTTGCATCAAATTTGATTGATTGGGCATTATTGAATATCCTGAAGAATTTATATGAAAACTTGATTGTTAGAAAAATATGTTCAAATATTGGGTGATTAGATGAGAATCAAGATCATTTTTCTTCAAGAGGATGATGAAATATGGTCCTAAAGCACCATATGTGAATGCTTTCATATCACAATTTATGATATTGCCATGATTTGCAATGAAGCTATATATTTGATATGATATGCTTGAGGAATTATTATCTATGATTGATTTGCTAAACTTATTTAGGATCAAAATTAATTGATTATGCATGTGTTATACATGTCTAGCTTGAACTATATAAGTTGACTTTTGAGAGATTATTTATTTATGAAAATACATGTATATCAAAATTATTTTTCTTCTCTCACAAGATATACCACAAGTAAAGAATGTGTTCATATTCAGAAGATATGTATAAAGAGCAGACTCAAAGGTATTGGCAATAATAATATTCAAAAAATTAATGCACAAGTTAGGATATAATGACTCAAGAAGACTCAAGAACAAGGGATGATATCGTCATCAAAGGGAGTAAAAGTTATACTATACTCTTTTTTCCTTAACCAAAAGTTTGTCCCATTAGGTTTTTTTGATAAGGTTTTTAATGAGTCAGCTTCAATAAATATCATGATATTGTATACTCTTTTTCCTTGACTAAATTTTTGTCCCATTAGGTTTTACTTAGTAAGGTCTTAATGAGGCACAATATTTGAACATTCAAGGAGGAGTGTTATGCATATTAGGATATTATATGGATGTTTATTATCTTAGACTCTTTGATATCTTTCGGTTACTAAAATATCTTTCAGTTATTATTATTTTATATATTTTATTCTCTTTAATTGAAATATTTGTGATTATAAATAGAAGGCACCTCAATTATGTTCAACACACTAAAAATAAAAAAAAAATTATTTTTTTATTCTCTCAATATAGTTTTCTCTCTTCTCTCCTCCTCTTAATCTCTATTTTTATAACAACTATATTTACATGTATTATTTATTTTTTCCATTATTATAAATCACGAGCTGGCGAGGACGTGGCTTGTTTTCCTCTTTCACCGTTAATTCTCCTCCAATCTCCGCCCTCTCTTGTAACGATCTCTTCTGAAGATTTGAATCTTCTCTACCTATGCTATTTCTGCTTCGCTGCGATTCTTCTTTACCCAGTTTCCAATCTGTATCTATTTTCTAAATTGCATCAACGTTGATTCGCAATCGGACAATAACTTGGGTAAGAATCATTGAATGATATATAATTATTTATGTTGCTAGGATTTGTTGTTATTTTGTTCCCTTTGTTTCTTGTTTTTATTGCTATTGATTTTGCGCTTGATTAATGTTTATCTATTCAATTTCAGGCATTTGGCAGAAGTTGGTTTCAATGGCTCAAGCGCCGAATCCACAGAATGGGGAATCAAGCACACCATTGATGGTAAGTCATAAACTTGCTTATAATTTTTATCCGTGAAGTCTGAATTTTCCTCCCTTTTATGCCACTCTGTAATCTGTTTTTTTTTTTTAATCGGCATGGGTGTTTTCCATCAATGCTTCGTTCCTTATGTTTTAATGAACTGAGATTGTTCAAGATGTGTGTCCTAATTATTATAATACCAATAAGGTTGGCCTTTTTACTCGCACAAATTTCTAACTGCTGATCATTTTACGTGTAGGGTGATAGTTATGATGGCATTATTCCTCAGCTGTTTACGTCTGTACCAGCTCTGAATGACGCTGCTTCTTATTTAGCACAAACAACATCCTACTTTACCCGTTGTTTTTCTGATTATTCAGGCAAGTTTGATTTACCCAACTTGTGAATGATGTAACTTATAGAGCTTCTGTACAAACTACAAAGTTTAGATTGAAAATTTTGTAGCCAATCTCTTAACTATCTATGAAGCTGGATTGATTATTGAGGCTTTTTGCATGAGAGAAAGGTGAATGTTCTTGAGTTCACCTGTTTTTATATAACTGAAGAAAAATTTATATCACTAGTCTTCCTTTCAACTGTTATTTTTTTCCTGCCAAATAGAAATGTAGAACTAATAATGTTGATTTGGAACTCTAGTCAACTTCAAGATATGAAACTATACCTTTTTAGGCATAGTCAATGAATGAGATTGCCAATTTAAAAAACTTATCTTCAGCCCTTGAGATCTTTAAGAGACTCAGTTTTAGCAAGTTTTCCATTAACTATGTCACATCCAACTGATTACAATTTATTTGATCATTCAAGTTGTCTATTTCTGGAATTCAATGTGTCAAATTATCAGACATGAAAGTTTTGATTTCAGAATATCTCTGGTAGATAACTTGTTAATCTGAAGGACCTTCGAGATGAGAACTGACCTTCTTCTAATCTCTTTATACGCTTTTGAGGCTGTTGCTTTGCATTTTCCACTTTGGATTTTGTTTTTCATCACTGATGCATTTGATTCATAATGTCTTTATTTCACACTCTTTTTTCATCGTGCAGAGCATTGAGTCACTGAATCTGATAACGCAAGTTTTTTTTCATTATTTACAGTAGAATATTCCCCTAGAGGATCCCATGCTAGCATTTATCCTGCAGAGATGCGGAGATTTTCTTCTGGAGTGACTGATGTATCTTCTGCTACAGCTACTGAGCAAATATCTTCCAATGGAAACTGTTTAAGAAATGCTGAATCATCAAGTACTACTTCAGCTCCTTCACATATGCAGGATGAAATCACAAGGACTTCTGCAGGAGATTCATCACAAAATTCTGGCACACTTGTTGTTTCAAATCGTACTGGTCAAAGTGGCATTTCTATTTTCCAGAGGTAATATTTGCTAACTGCCTCTATTTGTGAGGATATTTGATGATAAAGATAAACCCTCAAGAAAGATTAGCTGGTTGTTAAATTCAATGGGTTAGAGCTAATTTTTAAAGTCATCTTACTGTAATGAGACGATGGGTGGTCCACAAGAGAACAATTAATGATAAACTGAACATAATATACTTCTGCTATTTTTAGTACATGGGTTCCTTGTTTTATGATGGAACCCATTCAAGTGACATGAACATCATTGATAATACAACAACACAAATAGTCTTATCCTGCTAGGTGGGATTGATTATGATAATGTGATAATACCAACTACTAGTTTAAACATGTATAAAATTAAGATGATTATTTTCCCGTTATTGGTGATTTTAATTAATAAAAGGAGCAGACTGATTTTGTAAGCCCTCTGATTAAAGTGGACTTTTTTTCTCTTTCTAAGGGAATTTAATCCAAAATTTCAAATTTTTCATTGAAAATATTAGCTATTCTCTAACTTCCTTGCTACTTCTGCTCTATCCAAGCATTTGGGCCTTCATTTGGCTTTTGTAACCCTTTGTTAAAAAAATTAGCTATTTCAAAGTCATCTTTTAAAATGATGGATGCAGTGTTTGATGGAAAGGCCCAGTGGATGAGCTGGTGTTGGAACCTCCAACAATAAGGACAAAACTTAGGACCAACCACAAAACTAGAAAGATAATCTGGAGAAGACCGTAGGTGAACATGCCTCTTAGAACCCCAGCTGTAAAGACGTCACTAAATATGACAGCTCCTTTAATAAGTCTGGTGTTTCACAAAAGAATACAAGGATGCAAGCCACAACTTAACAAGAAGAGGGGGGAAAAAACTCTCAAATTTTATTAATCAATCATCTCTTCAAAAGTAACATGGTGGTGGCCTTTATATAGGCAGAAATAGAAACTCAAGAATTCCTAAAATTAATAATCAAATCCTAATATATTAAGGAACTATGGGTGGTGCCTAATTAATGATCAGACCTGTCCTTGGAGGTGCCATCATTGAAATGGAAACAACTTCATCTTTAAGTCGAAGCAAATGGTAATGCTTTGCTATTGTTCTTAACTAGGCTTTCATGGGAACAAATCATGTTGTTTTTGTTGCTCCACTTGTCATATGAACTTATAGCATTGGTTTCTCCATCTAAACTTTTGATCTGGGGCTACTAAAATATGATTTGAAACTTCAGCCTTATTGAGAGAGCTCGAAGGACTGTGCGTGGTTCTGCAGATGATATTGGTTGGCTTCAACTTGATCCTGAAATGCCCTCAGTTGAAGATGGTACAGAGAGGTTCGAGGAAATTTTTGACAACATCAGGTACACACCCTGTTTTTTATCTTGTCTTGCTCTGATCTACTGGATGGTGTTATTTTGTTGCCTCAGCTTTTTCTACATTGATCAGGCATGGTGTTCACAAGTTACCAAATTCAATGGTTTACTTGTTAATTCCAGGTAAATTTGTGATTTATCTTTAAAATACTGATGGTAGCTAGGATCATGGATATCCATGATAACATTCCTCCTCTTTCCCTCTCTGTGGGCAGGGGTATGAGTCTATAAGAGATGTAGCTCTTTGGAGACATTCTGTAGGTGTCACCTAGAATTAGAATCACACACACACACAATGGCACACATTTATTTGTATTGATTATATACCACTGGCGTTACGTTCTTTGGCAACAGGTCTTTTCAGTAATCATGGACCACTCTACTTTGTCAATACAAAGGCCAGTTTCTCAAAGATGGGTTTAACCTGTCATATTGCAAAAATTCACAGTGAGGTATATCAGTAGAGTAATTACTGCAATTTTATTAATTAATATTAAATGATTAAAATAACTGACAAAAGTATGTTTGTTTTCGTGTATGTTATGTGCATTTGTCTTTGTCCATGTGTTATTTACTTGCTGCTACTGAATGTTGATTAATCATTAATCAGGCATCAGTTGAGAAAAATGCCAAAGAGATAAAAGAGTACGTCGAGGAAATTTATTGGGGCTCCAACAAACGTATTTTGCTTCTTGGGCATAGCAAGGGAGGAGTAGATGCAGCTGCTGCTTTATCATTATATTGGTCTGACTTGAAAGATAAAGTTGCTGGTTTGGCATTAGCACAAAGCCCATATGGTGGTAGCCCTATAGCTTCAGACCTTTTGCGAGAAGGACAGCTTGGGGATTATGTAAATTTACGGAAACTTACAGAGATTCTTATCTGTAGAATAATGAAGGTATGCTGAGTTATTGTTGGTATTGATTTAGTAAGTAAAACCATTGATTTATTGTGGTAAATCTTCCTGTAGTTATAACCAGGTGATAATCCCATTTAGGACCAATAGCAAAGAAAAAGAGGGGGAGAGGGAAGGAGGAGGAGGGACATATAGAAGAATTAATGGGATAGAGGTCTGAAAATATCTAAATTATCAAATTAAGCCTAACCTTAGTACAAGTGTCAAGGGATTTATTGGGAACCCAAAAGATTAGGATGGAAACAAAAGATTAATGAGAGCAAGACAATAACTCACGCTATTTAAAATAATTTTTTTTAAGATAATCGAATTCAAAATAAAACTAATTTAATAATATATTTTCCCACGTTCATCTGTAGTCCATAATTTGCAAACAATTACTTTATGATCTACTCCTATTCTCCATTATTATCTCTTCTGTCAACCCATATGAAGTGGAAGCACAAGGCAAAAGATCATACACACAACTAACATATATCCTCCTTTCTCATGTTTTCTTCTTGCTATCCCCCTTCTATTCTTTCTAGATCCTATCCTATCTTCGTGTCTTGGGCCTTAAGTTGCACCTCCTGAGTTTTCTTTTTTGGTTCGATGAACAAGGTTTTCAGATGGAGAAAGAAATTAATGAGAGGCTAAATTATTTAGTTAGCCTCCTAAACTCAACTCTAGCTCAGAGACGGAACAAACTGAAGTAGATGTTGTACACTCTACTATTACTTGGAAAAAAAATAACAAGTTCGATGATTTTGTGTAAGGAGCATAAGTTCGTAAAGCCAAGTGATGTTTGTGCAGGTTTCTAATGGCCATATTTAGAAAGGAATGCAGGGAATTTTGAAGCATAATAAGTTTCTATCTTTGCATTTGGCACGTCCCTTGTTGATTTGTAAGAGGATTGGCAAATCTCTATTGAGCTATCCTTGTTTAGTTTATAAATCTTGCTTTTGAGGATTCCTTGTCCTCATTTAATGTATTCTATTTCTTCCATCAAATGATTTTTTTCTGTATTTTCTATCGGTTAATTCCTTTCTCCATTTAGTGTTTATTTAGTTTCATATTGTTGCTTTATTCAGAAAATCCAATGGTAGTATATAAAAAGAAGAGAACTATCTCATCTCACCCTTGTACAAAAGGGTTAATCTGAATTTCATCCAAAGCTGTTGACTTTACCAAGTTTGATCTGTTTAAGTTTATTAGTCTGGTGTGGGGTAGTTAGTTGCTGACGTTTTATTCTCTCATTTGTTATGTTTGTGTTTAACAGTGATTGTAAAGGCCAATTGATTTATGCATTGGTCTCACATGATAAACAGAATAATGTCATAATATAATCAAGCTGCTCATCTTAATTTAGTGTCATAATTTTCTGCATATATTTAATGGTGTCATGTAAGCAGCATGAAACACTATCAATTTCTACTACATTAGGTGAGGTGTTGTAGAAGAATAATATGGAAAAGAGAGAGAAAGAGAGAAAAGAGAGGAAAAACAGAGGAGAGAAGAGCAGAAGGTAGAGAGAATTCAGAGGAATTGAGAGAGAGAAGAGAAAGAAAGACAAAGGAGAGACTGAATAGTGTGATGATTCTCATTAGACTAACATAGCATAAGGATTACAATTGCATCTCAAGTATGTATAGGCTTCTAATCCTTATAACTCCCAACAGTTATATCTATAACTACCCTTACGGCTATTTCCCTTAGTTCTGAATATAAGTAACTAAACCATAAAATGTCGCAATTACAATGACATAACGTGAGATTTTTTTAAAATGTGTGTGTCTGAACCTCTGAGGTTATTCAACTTATCTCTTGTTGCAAAGGGTGACATGCGTGCTTTGGAAGACCTGACATATGAAAAGAGGAGGGAATTTTTGAAGAAACGCCATTTGCCAAAAGAACTACCTGTTGTTTCTCTTCGCACAGAGGCTGGCATTTCTCCTGCTGTTTTAGCCACATTGTCTCATGTTGCACATGCTGAACTACCTGTGATTACTCCTTTATCAGCTGGGGACACTGCTAAACTGCCAGTGGTGATGCCGTTAGGAGCAGCTATGGCAGCTTGTGCACAGCTGCTGCAGTTGAGGTATGGCGAGAAGAGTGACGGGCTTGTGACTTGCCGAGACGCAGAAGTTCCGGGGTCTGTGGTGGTACGGCCTGAACGAAAAGTGGATCATGCTTGGATGGTTTATTCTTCACTAAAAGATGACACTTTAGAAGGAGATGCTGCTCAGGTTTGTGAGGCTCTCTTGACTCTTCTTGTAGAAGTTGGGCAGAAAAAGAGGCATGAGCTTGCAATGAAAGATGAATGAATCATGCGAATTAGGCTTTTGCAGTTCTTTCGTTTTGTTGTACCTGTACATATGTCCTTCCATACTGAAGTTGATTTTTTTTTTTTTTCAGATGAGAATATATATTCAGATGATGTAAAGCTTATGCTTGCATAGATCTTATAAAATTTCTGTTTCTTTTTTTTTTTTTAAAGACTTTTGTTATTTAACTTTTCTACAAAAAAATGTTTTTTTAAATGTTTAGTTGCAATTACAAAAAATTCTTTTTATTTAAAAGGGAAAATGACAATGAAATCTCCCAAATTATATAAATAACAATATGGTCCCTTGAAGTACCATAATTTTACTGAAGTCTTTAGAGATTTCTATGTGAATAAATTTTAAATTGAAAAGATTATTTTACTCTTATTACTAAGTTGTAGTTTTTTATTCAATTTTTATGATTTTTTAAATAAAAGTTGTGAATAGAAATTATTATTTTAAAAACTTGTTTTTTCAATAATTGAAATTACATTTGACAAGTGATTGCTTGTTCAACTCTTACGATTTATAAAATAAAAATTGTTATTCTTTAAGCTAAAGTTGTAATTGGGGTTTGTTTTTTAATAATAAAAATTACACTTGACAAGTTGTGATTTCTTATTCAACTCTTGTGATTCACAAAACAAAAGTTGTAATTGAGGCTTTTTATTTTCAATAAGAATAAAATGATCTTTTTATTTTAAAATTTATTAATACAGAAGTTTTTAAAGATTTTAGTGAAATTATGACATTTCGAAAGATCAAATTATCGTTTATATATTTCGAATGAATTTTATTGTCATTTTTCCTATTTAAAATTGCTTCTCAAAATAATCAAAAAGGTATTTTTATGTTTCAAATTATGATCATTTTTCAAAAGATTAAACAATCATCTTAAAATTTCTCAAAAATGATTATTAAAAAAAGGAAAATTAATTTGCAAGTTCTTATTTTGTTTTCAATTTTGATTAGATCCATATAATTTATTTTGTTTCAATCAAGCCCTTATAGTTTACAACAACAACAACAACAAAAAGTATTATTCCACTAAGTAGAGTTGGTTACAAAGATTGTATGATATCAATGTGCTCTATCATTTGCCAAATCTTTAAAAATATTATTTACTTAGAAGTTTTAGTCAACAACTTATATATGTGTTCTCTATGGTCTTTTTCTACCTCTCTTAGTAAGGCTCAAAATTATCAGTTTCACTCTCCTCATTGATGCTTCTTGCGATCTTTTTTGTACAAGTCTAAGTCATCTCAAATGATTTTCTACTATTTTTCCTTTAATAAGTGCTATGCCCACTTTTTTTTATGTGCTTATTTTGAATTTTATCTTTACGTGTATGACTGCATATCCATCTCAACATTTTCATCTTTGATACTCCAACTTTATGTTTTTGATGTCCTTTTAAAGCCTAACAATAATTACCATAAAACATAGTTAGTTTAATAGCAGTTTGATAAAACTTTTTTTTAAGTTTATTAGGTACCTCACAATTGCAAATAACTCCTTCAGCCTTTTTTCAATTAAACCACCAGCTTACATCCTATGAGCAATATCTTTATCAGTTTCTCAATTTTGTTGAACAATAGCTCCTAAGTATCTAAACTTTTTCATTTGAGGTATAATCTGATCTTTTAATTTCACTTTCAATTTACTACCGACTGATCTCTTATCAAGATTACAATACAAATATTTCATCTTACTCCTACTAAGGCAAAAACCTTTTGAGTCAAATGTTTTCCTTCATAACTCAAGTTTATAGTTAATCTCTTATGTTATCTTCGTAATAAAAACTATATCATACTAAAAAAAGATGCATTTGGGAATTCCCTCTTAAATATGCTTAGTCAAAACATCTAAGACCATGTCAAACAAATAAGGACTCAAAGATTATCCCTGATATAATCCAATCCTTATAGAAAAGTCTTTTGTTTCACCGCTAAACGTTTGTGTACTAGTTGTTGCCTCTTCATACATATTTTGTATAGCTCTAATATAGGCAACCCAAACTCTTTTCTTTTCCAAGGCTTTCTAAAGTATTTCATTCAGTATATAGTCATAAGCTTTTTTCACATCAATAAAAACCATGTGTAAATTTTTACCTTTGCATCAACACTTTTTGATTAATCCTCTTGGTGGATAAATCACTTCTATAGTCGCCGCCCTACTTAGCATCAAGCCAAATTAATTTTCAAAAATACCGATATCTAATCTCAACGTTCTTTTCCATAATTTCATTGTTAGACTCATAAGTTTAATCCATTTATAGTTAGCACAATTTTAAATATCCTCTTTGTTTTTATAAATAGGGACTAAGGTGCTTCTCCTCCAATCGTTGGGCATTTTCTTGGACCGTTAGATCTCAATAAATAACTTAGTTAGCCACCATAGTCCTTCTTCACCTAAACATGTCCATACTTCAATAGGAATACAATCAAATCCATTAGCTGTACCATTTGCTATTTCCTTAAAAGCTTCATTTACCTCACTATCACACATCCTCCAATAAAATGACAAATTTTTATTCTTTTTTACGAGTTACTAAATCCTCTAAGTTACTAGATGAACCCCCCATCATTGAAAAGTTTGAAAAAGTAGATTTCCTATTTGTTTTTAATATTATTATCTGTAACCAAAACTCTTCCCTCTTTATCCTTTATGTTCCTTATTCCAGATCTATTGATTTTCTTTCCCTACCCTTATCAATCTTACAAATTTTTCATTCTCCATCCTTTATCCTTTATGCACCTTAATCTTATATCACCATCTGTGATCAAAACCCTCCCTCTTCCTTCTTCATCCTTTATGCAGCTTACATGTTTCAGATCTCTTGATTTTCTTTCTTTACTCTTAGCAATCTTATAAATATTTTGTTCTCTATCCTTTATCCTAAAACCATTATAAAACTCTTCAAATACTTTAGAATGAGTTTCATGCACAATTTTCTTAATTTCCTTCTTAGCTATATGATACCTTTCCCAATTTTCATCATTATTGCACAAATAGATGGCTTTAAAACACTCCTTTTGATGTTTAACTTTTTGCTATAGACTATCATTCCACTACCAAAACTCCTTATCTCTCGAACTAAAACCTTTTGATTCTCCCAAAATTTCTTTAGGAATCTTCTTTACCTTTTTAGCCATATCCTCCCACAAGATGCTAGTACTTTCGTAGGACTACCAAATTCCTTCTGCCAAAAGATTTCACTTGAAAATTTCCTGTTTCTCACATTTTAATTGCCATCACCTAATCCTCAAAGTTACCACTTGTTAACACTTTTGATTTTTACTTATAACACACACATCAAGGACCTTATATTGTATCATTACAGCATCTCTAAGAATCACCTTACAATTTTACAGAGTCTTCTATTCATGTTCATTACCAAAAGGAAATTAATTTGTGACCTTGAGACTCCACTTTTATAAGTGATGAGATGTTCATCCCTCTTCTTGAAACAAGTGTTAGCAATCTTAAAATCATACATTAAGGAGAAATGAAGAATAGATTGTCCTTCATTGTTTAGCTCCCCAAAACCAAAAACACCGTGCACCCTCGCATAATAACTTGCCTCCCTCCTAACATAATCATTAAAATCTCCTCTAATAAAGATCTTTTCACTTCCCGATAGCATTGAATCAATCCCTCCAAATCTTCCAAAAACAATTCCTTAAGACTAGTTTCTACCCTGGCTTGAGGTGCATAAGCAATAATAATATTAATAGTCTCATGTCCAACAATCATTTTTAAGGAAATAATTATGTTCCTAATTCTATTAACTTCTACCACATTATTCTTTCACTCTTTATCAATAATGATACCCACCTTATTACGTATGCTTACTTTCTTTGTATATCAAAGTTTAAAATCTTGAATATCCTTAGCTTATCTCTTGGGCTATTTAGTTTCCTACAGACAATAAGTTATTAATTTTTCTATGAATCATAACTCTTATCACCTCCATAGGTTTACAATTCAAGGCCCCAACATTTCAAATATCAAATTTGATCTTGCTCACGTGGACTAACTTCTTTAGCTACTCTTGTCCAAAATAATGCGATGGTTCTTGCTCATTTAACATTACATTTCAAAGCCAATGCAACAGCTATAAATCATTTGTTACTGTACTTGAGCCATACAGCGCGTTACTTACAGGCGACGACTTAGCATTCGAAGAAAAGCACCTATTATCCATATCATTGTGAGATTCAACAAAAGATTAATATATTTAATAATTGTACATTGGCTGTTGAATGCCTAACAAAGTTCAAACCTTTTATAATTTGATTGATAAAAATATTAATTAATAAAGGTTAAAATTATTAATGAATGATTAAGTTTTCTAAAATAAAAATACTTTTTTAATTTTTAGAAAATATGATCTAATAATTTTGACAAAAAAGAAAATTTAATTTAATACAGTGTTTACATTTTATTATTTTTTTATGAAAATTCTATATGTATAAAAAGATATTTAGAAAACATAATTATATAAGATTTGAGTTAAAAAATATAAATGTTTATAATTTTATTTTTTAAAAGATAAAATTCAAGGATTTTAATCTTTAGGGTTTCATCAAAAAAAATTAATATTCAGGGATTAATATATTTGATTGATTAAACAATAAAGGCTTAATTAAAAGAAAATAAATTACTGATGGAGTTGGATCTAATGACTCCTTCATAATGTAGCAAACTGAGGTTCGAATCTCCACTCAGAAAGGTGTTCACATTTAGTGTTTGACTGTATCTTGAAAAAAAATTACTTCTAATAAGAGGATACCTATAAGCAATAAAAGAAGAAAATAAATTATACGGACTTAATTCAAAATTAAAAAAAGGTATAAAAACGTGCGGATTAAATATCTAAACATATGCACACACAAACATATGTATCCGATCATAATTGATTAAAAAAGTTAGGCTAAAGTTTATTTTTGGTCATCTAACTTTATATAAGATTTCAATTTAGTTTTTTAATTTTATAACGTGTCTTTGTAGTCCTTTAACTCTAATTCTATTAGTTTTAAATAATTATTTTTTATATTATTTATTATTATTTTAAAAAATTAAACTTAACATGTCAACATTTTTAAGAATGTTTTGTCAATATTTAATATTTCAATATAGAAAT